CATAACAAGTTATGATTCATAAAATATTATGACTTCTCGAAAAAATACAGTCCCGGATGTGCATTTCCCCCACAGGCCGCTCGTCGCCGACACAACCGCTTTAAATATAACACAAAAACAACTTACCATGTTTGAAACGATGATTTTTGGCAGCGATATTGTGTAATGACACGGGGGGAAAAGCTCAGGAGCTTAGGTTGGGTAAGATCGGCTCTCGTCTCTCAGCCGGGACACTGGCGCAGCAATTCCCTATTCACACTCAGGGATGCGCAGTCGGACAGCCGCATTTTTTTTCAATTATTTATCTCCGTCGCAAATCGCGTTTCTTTCTCTTTTAACAAAGGGTTATTATGCCTGAATGTATTTACTGATAGTCCTGTGTCGGGAGGAGAAGCAGGGGCGGTGCTGCGGGCTACTCGCTGCACGGGGAGGATTATTTTGTTGGCCGTGCGTGCATGCTCTTCCTCTTTTCTTTGTATTTGTCGGGGCCTGCTGCTGTCAGGCCTGTCTGCGCTCTCTGCGGTACTGTCTGGCTGTCTGTCTGTCTGTCTGCTTAGCAGGCTAGCTGTCTGTCTGCCTGTCTCTTATAATTAATGGCCCTCGCCGCCAGACGGTCCTCTGGGAAACAGTGACCACGGTTACCTCCACATTGGCTCTCAGTGTGCATGTCACACAGGCCCGGCCACACAGCTGGGCTCAATCAGGCTGACTGAGAGATTGGTACAGGTGTGCATGATTGTACCCCCGCCCCCCCAGGTTATCATAACAAATCATATTTCATATTTTTCATATTTTAATAAAAAAAATCACATTTCGTCTCAGTGAGTTTTTAAATGTTGGATTATTGGCACTACAGGTGTTATCCCCATGTTTGCATTGAGTTCTCAGTACAGTCTTTAGTGAGCTGTTTTGGAACTTTGAAAGCATACTTTGTTTACAGCCAAAGTCATTTGGAGACAATACCTGTCCACTGGAAATATATAGGTTTTATTAAAGCCCATAATAAGTCTGAATGTTGTTTATAGTCCTAGCCGTAGCATTCTATGTGGCTATAGATATGTCGGTTTGTTAAGTCTTTCTATATGGATCAGCAAGATTGTTTTAGATTTAGTGTAGATTTAAAATGTAGTCTGACTTGTTCTGAGATTGGATTGGATTGGATTAGGATGGAGTGGGACTGACTGTGCAGGGCTGATTTACTTCATTCAAATACATTTGACCTTATGGGGTTGAGTTTAGCTTGATAAATCATCTATTCAGGGCCTCAAGAATGACCTTGACACTTGTAATCTCTGACGAATCAAGATGCAAACATTATATTCTAGTCTTTCCGCTTGCATGACAATATATAGTCTTAAATAAGGAACAAAGTATCTAAGACTTCTGTCAGGATCAGGTAAAACACATAGTGCTTCAGACGGTTACATCTCATTAAATGCAATACAAACCATAGTCTTAGGATAATCATCCTAACAACCTCCCTGATGATGACATTTAAAATAGAATAGCACATTTATTTTGATTACTATTATATTTATAATACAACGTGTTGCCTTAACTACCTTGCTGTGGTCTTACATCAGTAAAGCCACTAGGTGTCTCTCAAAGACAACATGTTTTACAATCAACTTGAGTAGCTCATATTTAAATGTGCTATGATCGACCTGATCATTTTTAATAATAACATAAACCCCAGGAGTACATACACATTATTTCGAAACCTTTGCAGCATTATCCGAATGGTTTGAGTTTTCCAGTTTACTTATTTTTCCTACTTTGTGAAATAGGCCCTGGTTTAAAAATGGGCATCTCTGGTTTGTGAAGTAATTCAGATATTCAAGCAGTTAAGCATGTGCTATGAGAAACAGATGATTCATACACTTCAAACATCAAGTGTTCTCCTAGAAGAGTAAAGGGCATGTTATAAGGTTTTATCTACCAAAGGGGGAATCAAGAGGGCATGTTTGCTGTGCTTTTTTGGAACATGAAGGCACCAAAGGGTGCATGCAACTTATTTTTGCCCCAGTAGTTATGGATTCACACACATACAGTATAGACACCAACACGTATTGTACCCATGTACACACAAATAAAGCTCAGTGCATTAAGGCAATATGTTACACCAGATGCTTTTCGTTGCTTGTGTAGAGACGAGTCAGCAAAGTCAGTAAACTGACCCAGTAATGTCAGTAACACAGCTATATCTGAAAGCTAACATCGGCTTAGATACTGATCATACCGGACATAGAAAGACAGAAGCAGAGTGTCATATATTAAACAAGGTCTACCAGCACCTTTAAAACTCACTAATATGTTACATACTTCTTTTTTTTTACCCATGCAAAATTCCAAATTGTATAGGTTGAGGTTTTACCAGTAGACTTATGCAGGATTTATTCTAGCAAGGTGAATTTTGAACCAAGCTTTGCTGTTTCTCCCTGATCTTTATGCTAAACTAAGGTAAAGTGTCTGCTTCATATTTAAATGACAGACATAGTCTTATTTCAGATCATCACCAAAGTTGTAACAGTACATCCTGGGGGGAACATGAATTTGTGTACACAATTTAATGACAATCCCACCTGGGTTTTGGCTACATTTCAAAGCTTCATTTCTAACTAATTGGGTGCTTAATCTCCAAAGTCTTTAGAATACATCACCTGTGTGTAAGTGCAAAGGAAACATGTGCAATTTCTTTTTTTTTCCCATCTCTCTTTATACGTGCAGAGGATGCTGTAAGCTTCCTTGTTGCTTACTACCTTTGATCATTTATGCTTTAGGGATCAGTTGTTTTGGCTACGGGAAACATACTGGCCTCATCATGTATGGGAAACAAGCTTATTTTAATATTGAAAGCTGAATGACTTGGTCATGTAAATACAGTTACATTTTCAGGGAAGTGAAACTAGTGTTCTTGTGTGTGCAGGTGCAGTCATGGTTAACTTAACTCAGTGGTTCTCAAACTTTTTCCGTCAGGCCCCCCTTTGGAGAAAAAAAAAAAGTTGGGCCCCCCCAACACAAATAGTCACGTAATGGGCCAAGTTAACATTTATTAAAATACATCAATATGAACGTGAGCATTCCTTTCAAAAAAATAAAAAAATCACTTTGCTTGAACAGTGATAATAAAACAATGCTCAATAAGTCTGTGTGCTCATTTCTTCAACACGGGGGTTGCAGGCTCAGTGGCGGCGCCAGAGAATTTCTTTTGGGGGTACTGTGGGTAATCTAAACACTGAGAGAGTTATCTGAGCCTCTCATTCTGACAGGCGAGAGTTCTCCCTCCACCTTGTTGTTGAAAAAGCTCCTTATATCCGGTAGCGTAGCTAGCTAGCACCAGATGCTAACAACAACAATCTCCGGCCAGTACCGGTGCGCGCTCTCTCTCTCTCTCTCGCTCGCGCACGCACACAAAATGGCTCGTTCCACACACACACAGAGCCGAGCTTGAATGAAACACAGAGACCCAGACATACTTGCACTGTACTGTAGCATATTATTTTCGAATCATTAATTTTTCAAATTATGAATTTCACACATACAAATAAAAAAGACATACATTTCTTGGGGGTGCTTAGGGGGTGCTATGGCTATCCTAGGGGGACCTGCAGCACCCCTTAACGCCCCCCTGACGCCGCCTATTGACCTTCCATCCTCAAAATGTACATTACACATCTGTGTCCTACAGCGCCCTCATAGGTTTCTAAGGTTTCTAAGTGTTACTTCCGCCGGTCATGCCGACGTCTTTTTTTTTGTTTGTCATAACAATTTTTCCTCCTGGTCTCTGCCCCCCCCCCCCTGTCATGCCCCCCACTTTGAGAAACACTGACTTAACTGATGGCAAAAAAGTGAAGTTTAAGCCATTGACAGTGATATATAATGATCAGTATTTTTCTGATCAACAGGAAGTGGGAGAATTTTTGTTAAAGTGGCTATGCACGTTACCTATTAAGAAAGAAATACAGATGTGTATGGAATATAAATGTAAATGGTCTGCTAAGGCTAAAATCCCAAAGTTCTCTGAATATTAAAGCATGAAAACATGTCACAGTAGAGGCACAAAATACAAATATGAAGCTGAAAATTAGCATAATAGAGTCCCTTTAAGAGTTTTTTCCACTCACAGTGTCATATGACGTGTTAAGTCACTGTTTCAGTTCCAAAAGATGATGTAAAGTTAACTTCAAAGTTACCTAATAATTTTCCCTTCGCCACCTCCAGGGTCATGTGACCTCTCTGAGTCCGGTGCAAGCCACTAAAGCAGACACCGAGGGTGGGTGGATCTTTTGGGATTAGCCTCCTCGGTCAATAACACTGACCACACGCGACACTCACCCTCACCGATGGCCACAGTCGGCAAACACCAGGGCACCACCAGGTAAGAAACACCATTTTGTTTGTAAAAAATCACATTATATTCAGTTCAGACAAGCATATGTGTGTTCGTAGTTAAAGATGTAAAAGCCGAGCACATGCTGAGAGTAAATCCGGCCAACAATCTCTCAAGGATGATCTCCTGATCCCCTGTAACTGTGCTTAGTGGAGTTAACGCTCATGTTCATTGTTGCAACCCCTTCATCCTTAATGTGATAACCAGCAAGTCTACATTTTAAACGCCATTAACGCTCACTTAAACCCATTAGGATATGAAGTGTTATTTTTGTCCAACCTCAGAACATTTTCCCAGTAATGGTGGTTAAGTATTCTATTCATAGGCAAAAGCCCAGGAGACAGGATTACTGTTCAGCGTGCACAGTTGGAGTAAACTTCCCACCAGCTCAACAAGAACTGTGCATTATAATTCACATTCTTACGTATAGCAGGTACATTTGTAAATAATGTCTTTCAATTTGTGTGAATAAATCCACAACTTGGTTACATTTTCCGAGCACGTACAATTACTCACAGGAATCCAAATCAGTGTGTATCTGGTTTCTGTCTTGTGTACAAACTGTATAGTGAGTAGCCTTGTGTGACACATACACAGTGATCCGCCCACCATGGCGTCCATGGAGGAAGAGCTGACCTGCTCCGTGTGCCGAGACTGCTTCAGCAAATCCCACCCTCTGCCCTGCGGTCACAGCTTCTGCCCCACCTGCATCCGCGAGGCCTGGAGCGGGCAGGGCGAGGTCAAAGGTCGCTTCAACTGCCCCCAGTGTCAGGAGGAGCACGGGGAGGTGCTGTGTGACTGCTGCCCTCCAGAGGAAGCGGATGAAGGAAAGCCACAATTGGCCGTCAAGACCTGCCTGAGGTGTGAAGTGTCGCTGTGTGCCCTACACCTCCAATCCCATCTGGAGAGACCGGCGTTCAGCACCCACCTGCTGGTGGATCCGCTGGGGGACCTCTCCCAGCGAAAGTGCCAGACCCACCAAGAGATACTGAGATACTACTGCGCCGATGACAGGGAGTACGTGTGTGGAGACTGTCTGCTGGATGGAAGCCACGCTCAGCACAAAGTGAAGGCGCTGAGACAGGTGGAAGAGGATCTGAAGGTCAGCTGGAAAAAATCTGTTTGTTTTGTAACATTTTTCAGTGCACAGTTCCTGCATTGGCTCATATAAGTGTGCTTCCCCAGGTCATTCTCCAAACCCTACTAGGCAAAGCAGAGGAGAAGATGAAAGATGGAGAGCGAATCCTCAAAGAGCATGAGTGTATTGATTCAACCATGGCTGTGAGTTGGAATTTTTTCAAATGCATTAGATATTTTAATTATATTTAATCGCTGATCTTGCGCCAATCTCTCCCGACTGATTTCAGGACTCCCTGATGGATGACATCTCCCAGGTGGAGCGGCTGGGCTCAGACCTGCAGATCCAGGTGACGAAGCTGGTGGGCGCTCTGAGGGAGATCACCAAGAGGGAGAGGCAGCAGGTGATAGAGCGAATGCATGAAGACTGCTCCAAGGTGAGAGACGGCATGAGCCAGGCGCTGAGCATCCAGTACTACTTGGCCTCGCTGCTGTCAGAGACCGACCCCTTCCTGCTCATCTGGGTGAGGACTGACACACTGATGTACACACTTGATCTGTTGACATACAAATGCATGTATTCTGATGTATTATATTATAAGTAGGGTAGCCACTGTGAATAATGATGATACAGTGTTGTCAGTCATGCAAAAAGACCTAAAACTATTTAGCTTCTGATGTGCTCAACCGAGCTCAATCAGTTGTCCTTTAGCTAACCGTTAGCAATGCAAGTGGCATGGCTCAAGGGCTCTTTCAAAACATGTCTTTGGTTCTTATCTCTCAAAACACATTTATGCTCAAGGATGGAGAATCTGTAGGGAACAGGACAAGATTTTGGTAACCAAAGTTTTCACATTTACGGCAATTAAGTTTGAGCTGGTTTTGTCTAAATAGTCACAACTTGTTGGTGTATCCTATGTTTACCTAGCATATCTTAACTCAGCTGTGAAAACTGAATGGAGGTAACTTTTGATAAGGTATTAACATAGCTGAATAACTGACTGAATGTGCCTGGTTTCAAATGTGTTAATGGTAAATGGACAGCATTTAGAAGCGTAGCGCCTTTCTTGCTTTTGCGACTATTCAAAGGGATTTACAACAACACATGTCAGCATTTAAACACATTTATACAGACGCAGATATTAGGCTCAGGGGATTGAACCACAGCTGCTCTCCACATGTTGCTAAATCCTGATTACAGCTTTATTTAATGACACAATGTTTAAATTTGGCCCAAACCAGTGGAAAGAGAACAGACTGCACTAAACTAATACAAGAAATAACCAAAATGGTTCTAAATTTGACAGTTATGGAGACATTTTATCTTCAAGGCTGGGGCCCCTGACTTTAGCCTATGTTTAAAACGTTGCCTAAGTCACCCCCCTACCCCCTAGATTTTTGGCAGTCGTCCTGCCTAATTAAGGCAAAAAGATGTTCAGGGCCTTTAAGCTGTTATTTGTTTTAACACAAAGCCAATTCATCTTTAAAAAAAGAGACAAGAACACACAGAAGATGCTGTCATCAAAACGTTTTAGCTTATCAAGAATCTGAGCTATGCAGCAGAGCCGTTCAAACATCATGATTTATGTTGCATAAGCTTATACATCTTAGGAAGAAATGGCACATATACATTCCCACAGATGTGGTTAGTTATATGTTTGTGCGAAGCTTCCTCTTTGTGTTTGTTTGTTTGCTTTCTCATCCTGCTGGACTGTAAGGGATGTTTGCAATTTCTTTTTAAATGAATTCTTTTCTGTCATGTTTTTCTCGGCTGTCCTTGACTCTTTCCTAGGCCTTTCAATCGGACGACACAAAGTAAGTCCAGAACAAAACCGTGTCATTAGTTGTGTTGATGCAGTCTTTGTCTGTTGGAATCACTGTAACGATTACACTATACATGCCTTTTATCTTTTTAAATATAAAAATATATATGTTGTTGCTCATCAACAAGATAGTCCCTCTCCTGCAGCATGTGTTGTTCTCTTATATCCTAGGTTACTAGCAGACCTGGACAGCCCAGTTTATGTCCCTGATGCCGTCAGTCTGGACAGGAAACACATCTTGGAGGACATAGAGAGCAAGTATCGAGATTTCATAACCGGCACCCTCCGCTGCCTCAGTGAACTCAAGAGGGAGCTCTGTGAGTGCAGATGGGTGACATACCCAATTAATTTAAATCTGAAATAATACGGTGATACAGTAAAAAGAACTAGTTTCTATATTAAAATTCTTACAACAAGTTCCCTGGATTATATTAAGTGAACAGGTCCTTTTTGGGAAGAGACATTGCTGTGCTGGTTTTAAAATGTAGTAGTGTGGACCATCACCTATGTGTGGCCGATAGAAGCACAAGTGTACCATAGTGATGTCATTAAGTTACAGAAGTAAAAAAAGGAGTCCAATGGAGGTGTTTCAGGATGGGGTGGAGTGCGTGGAAGAGAAAGGGGACTTGGAATCTTAGCCTTTTGCAGACCATTTTCAAGCTAAACAACATATATGACACACTACAGGAAAGGGAAAACCCCAAAAAGTTTAAAAGGGCCTCTTGAATATCTTTGGAAAATTGTTTTTATTACTTTTTTACCAAGAGCTAGATTTGAAGATTTGTCCTCATATTTATTTATTAAAAAAATGTACAGGCTTTAGAGTAGCCGAGCATGACGGCTGCCTCTAACTCTCTCCTTGCTTTGCTTCGTATGTTATTCTTCTCTCATACAGTAACCAGTCGTTTGACTCTGGACACTTACACAGCCCATCCTCTGTTGAGCATCTCTGATGACCTTCGCTCCGTGACACGGGTACGAAACCGCCAACCCCACCCTGCTCACCCCGAACGTTTCGACCACTGGCCGCAGGTCCTCACCGCCCAGACCATCGCCTCTGGGACTCACTACTGGGAGCTGGAAGCTGAGGGATTCTGGGACATTGGCGTCAGCTATAGAAGTATTCGGCGGAAAGGCAAAGAGGGTAACGCCTTTGGGAACAATAAGGTACATATGCTAAGGGTGTTTGCTCAATTTAGAGCATTTAGCCATTCAAATTTGATACATGTCACATAATATTTTCAGTGTTGAAGGTTTGGTCTATAAAATATCATCAGAAATGGCTCTGGCTGATGGTAGGGTAGTTGTCTACCATTTGGTAGGTCAGTGCTTCCATTCCCAGCCCCCACAACCATTGTGTTAATGTATCCTTGACTTATGTAAAGTTCTTTTAGGGTTGCAAAGAGTGGAAATCGCTATATAAATGCAGTCCATTCACCATTTATAATACAAACATTCCAATAAAAATCTCCCAGTGTACAATTCAAATTGCTTGTGTTCTCTGACAAACAGTCTTACACATAAAGGTACGTTCACAGACAACAGAGAAAGACCTTTAGTCTCTAGCAATAGATTCAGATTACTTTAGTATCCATTACATTTGGATAAAATGGAAATGTGTCTTTAGCTCCGGCACATAAGACAACATACAGCACATCATACAATTAACACACATCATCACAATTATGCATCTTAAATTCTAAAGGTGACTTTCTGTTGAATCAAACCCTAAACATTGTTGGTACTTGATTTTCTGAAAACAATCCATTGTTTCAGCTGTAGTTTGAACCAAAAGGACATATTCCTGGATTTAAAATGTGGTTGTTAAACGTCTAGGTGTCATGGAGTTTGACGCAGCAGCACGACAGGAAGTTGGCTGCTTGGCACAACCGCAGGAAGACCCGCCTTACGTACCAAATGACCGGCAACCGTGTTTCCGTCACCGTGGACTACGGAGCGGGCACCATCACCTTCTCCGAGGTGGAACCATCCAACCACCTGACCCACCTCCACACGTTCTCCACCACGTTCACTGAGCCCGTGTGCTTGGGCTTTGGACTCTACAAAGCTGAGCTCAACAGTCACATCACCATCCTCAAAGTCTGAGGCGGAAATAAAGGCAAAGGGGGACGGAGAAAACACGCTGACTGGCACCATGCTGGTTTAACTTAGACAAAGCCATGCCAAGACAAAGCGCTGCTGATTTATTTCTGGAAGCCAAGTGGAACTTTGAGCCTCTCCAATATTTCTCTCCCCTTACATCTCAGCCTGAGCTCGTCTTTATGAAGAACAAGACCATATTTCCTAGATCAGGTGATATTGATATGGAAATATCAGAGATATTTGAGAATGGAACATTTAATGAGTGGATATAAGTGCATCGTAACTGGAAAGCAACTGAAGAGGCTCCTTTGAAAAGACTAAAATAGGTTTTGGAAACCAAATTGCAAGATTGTTGTGTGCTTTTCATTCTACAGCGATCAAAACTGCAGATGACTGGTCTGGTTGGATTGGTTTATAACAACTGTATGAAGAAGGTTGTAAGATGTTTTGAAATGCATTGCATCCATTCTTAAGCATCTTCCTCAGTTCTGACTGAAAGCTCCTTTTTTTAAATAACAAATGACACAAATATTTTCAGCTATTACATGTCTGTATGTAAAAGAAAGGAATATCCTCACAGAGAAATGTATGCTATGTTCCATTAACCCAGTCTCATAATACATGCTCCCTAGCTACATGAAGCATAGGAGGTGTAAAGATTTTCCATGAAGGCGCACAGGTGAAAGAAAGAGCATTTAAACCCTTCCAACTCCAATTGAAAAACAGGAAGGAATCAATTATTTGAAAAAGAAAAACAACTGCCACTGACTCGCTAAGTTGGCTGTTTGAAGCAGCTCACATCCCCAATTATTTTGTAATTTTTCTTTATTTCACTGTAAAGGTGAGTGGGTGGATGTAACATAGAGGAGGGTGAGAAAGAAGCAGAAGGAAAGGGGGGGGGTTGGCTGAGAGAAAGACAAGGATAGAGAGATAGAGAGAGGGAACAGAGCATACTGTGGCTTGGTTACGATCACACTGACTGCCGTGCTGAGAGATAATATGTTAGAGGAGCCAGAGAACGTGGATTTCTTGACCATATAACAACTGTTTTTCACCTGGTATGGAATACAAGACTATTCGGAAGGAAACAGGTGATCATCTATTTTCTATTCACTTAGGGATAGTACTATAAAGAAATATCCGGGTCATTTTAGAACACTTGTTTTAAGTTGAATAGTTTATAATATTGCAATAATGTGAATCTTATCAGTCCAGGAAACTGTATGTATTTGTGTGCGATGACAACAATTTAATTAAAGCTACGAAGGAGATGTTTTCACACGTCTTAGTCAACGATAAATGATTTAAAAATGTACTGTTTTAAACTTATCCTGTATTAAATGTCACATTTCTACGAGTTAAACAACAGAAAGGCTGCTAAAATTTCTTAACAGTGCCATTTTTTTGTATATGAATAGCTACTATATTTGTGTCTGTAAGTGTGAAACAAAAGCACAAGCGAGAACAAGAGTATGTATGTTGTGTGAGGGAATTTGTGTTGAGCAGCGTCGGATGGAGGAGGGGGGGGGGGGGTACGTGTAAAAGACAGATGGTCACTCAGTGGAGTTGTTCCCCCACACCCCTCTCTATTTCGCACTCCCTTCTGGGTCCTACATCCTTTGCTTGTCACCTCTCCAAAATCTTACCTCATCTGTTTTTTTTTCTCGCCTCACCTCTCATCATCAGCATCTTTCAATCCCCCATCATCCTTCACTCCCTCTCCATCTCCATCAGTTAAAGTTTGAACTTGGATCTTTTCTCACTTTGCAAACCTTTTTTCCTTTTTCTCAGCTACATATCTTCTGCCTTCTTGTCAGGTTTTCTTTTTGCCAAAGAAATCAACTTGAAAATACCGATTCAAGAATTTTGTTGTGATTGTCATTCTGGCCCCTGCTGACACAGCACGTAGGACACTGAACACAATTGGGATTTCGGCTGGGCAAACAAGTAAACTCAGAAGACAAGACAGAAAGGGAGTGATTGACAGCTATGGCCAGGGAGGAATTCTAAATATTTTTCCTGAATATAATTTTTTTGTGAGACACATCCGCTGCTTCTACTGCTGCGTAGGTGCATATTAATGTACTTCAGACAAAATTACATAAGAGTTTAAACTTTGGAACATTTTACCACACACTTTTTCTTTCACTGTAGCATGTTTGTTTTCATTCCAAGTTGTCCAAAGTGACACATCCCTACAGTAGAATCAATCAGAGATATTGGAGTAAACACGCCAGGTTCAGTCATGCACAGCAGGTCGGTCACCTTTGACCTCTCCATGCTGTTGGGGGTGTTGCTGTTGTGGGGGCCGATGGAGTCCAAGGGTCAGAATGACACAGAGCCCATCATCCTGGAGGGGAAGTGCCTGGTGGTGTGCGACTCCACTCCTTCATCCGAGCCCTCCGGGAACGCCCTGGGCATGTCGGTGCGCTCCGGCTCCGGGAGGGTGGCCTTCTCCGCCAGCCGCCAGACCAACCACGAGCCCACAGACATGAGCAACCGCACCATGATCATCTACTTTGATAATGTGAGTATTTTGTATTTAGATAACAGGATGCTTGTTATTTTCCAGGTCAAATAAAGCCCATTGACGATGAGAGGACAAATTACCCAGAGGTGTGGAATCAAGTCACATGACGTAGATTCAAGTCAGATTCAAGCCACAAATCGACAAAATCAAAACAGACCTGCAACTCAACTTTGAATAAGAAATGTATGAATGACTTGTGTTTAAACTTGGAATTTATACTTTCCCCAAGTCCAAAGATTTAAAAAATCCCTAACCTTAACCCTAACCAACAAATCAATTGCCCTTGTTTAGGGACAACATTCCCAATGAATTAAGTTACTCAAAGGCTTAGACTGGGCTCTTCACTGTGACCCTTTTCAAATAGATGTTTGTACTAAGTTAAAGTAAAGAAAATCAACAAACAACAACTAAAGTGGGACCATACAGTGGAGAGTAATTGTCTGAACCTAGTTTTCCCTCTGTCTTTCAACAAATCCCGACATACAACAGGTGCATTAAATACAATCAACCATGAGACAAATGCCGGAAGTGATAACCAATTACAAATAAACATGGTGTAAATAAATAATGATAAATTAAATAATAAACACAAGCTAAATAAGCATTTTTGCTCCAATGTTAAAGCTATTTATTCTCAGTAAGTCAACACTAAATTCTCTAAATCCTCTTCTTCAAACCAATCCGACAGCATCCAAACAAGTTGCAGTAGTTCACAAAGAAGTAATGTAACATTACTGAGTGACAGTTGGAAAAAAATAAACCAAAGACAATTTCATGTGCTTTCCAAAAATATGTGGTAGCCAAAAAACAAATTAGAGTTTTCCAAACATGCACTCAAAACACAAAAGGGATGTTTGACTGAGTGGAAAGACCTACTTGTGACTTGCAAAACAATTACTTGGTCATCTGCTAAGTACTTGGAAAATGTTTTCATGTGTAGTTTTGGAGGAAAAAAATAAGATAATTACAATGCCATGTTAAAAATAAGTTAGAGGTAAACAACAAACGTTCAGACTCACAGTGCAGACCTGCCAGCATTTTCATGTAAATGTTGAGCTTTCCTGTTGCGATGGAATTGTAGAAAACAAAATGACTCAGTATCTGGGTGTGGCCTGACATCTAACTGCGTGGAAGAAAATAATGACACAAGTGCCGTGCCCCTTTTTCCACCCTCCCTTGCTGTTGCATCAGATTTTGGTGAACGTGGGCAATCATTTTGACCAGGAGAGCAGTGTGTTCCTGGCGCCAAGAAGGGGCGTGTACAGCTTCAACTTCCATGTTGTAAAGGCCTACAATAGACAAACTATTCAGGTAGGAAACCTCAACCATGATGATTTTTGTTTTATTGCATTGAACCAACATGCACTCCATAATCCCTTCGTTTTCTCTCTCTTAGGTCAGCTTGATGTTGAACGGCTGGCCTATGATTTCAGCTTTCGCCGGAGACCAGGATGTGACCAGAGAAGCCGCCACTAACGCCGGCCTGGTGATAATGGAGAAGGGGGACAAGGTTTACCTCAGATTGGAGAGAGGAAACCTGATGGGAGGCTGGAAGTACTCCACTTTCTCCGGGTTTCTGGTGTTCCCCCTGTGATGTGTTAGAAAGGTGATGGAAAGGGAATCGGAGGTCGCAGTTGTGAGAAAGAAGCAGAAAAAAAAAAAATTGATTGAAGAAATGGAAGGCTTCAATCTGAAACTCTCGGAAAGATGTGTTTTATGCAAAAACAAGATGAAGATTGTGCAAATTAAGATAATTCTCACTTGAGACCAAAATAAAAGAAGGATCAGAGGTTAAAACATGATTCATTTTGCACTGTTTCTGTGTATACATATTTGTTCGGTTATAAGAGATTCAATTATAAAATAGCCAATGCGCAAAGTGTGCTTCTCTGCTAAAATTATATTTTATTGTATAAGTGTTTGCAACATTGCTGTGCTCCACATGGCATCCTGTCTAGTTTACAAATGTGCCCTTTGCTCTGTTGTGTTTTATGACTGATGCTCCTCTATATGCCTGTTAGTCTCCTGCAAAATGTTCATTTATATTTCTTTTAAAGAGAAAATATTGAAATAAAATCCTATAATATTGGCTCAATATTTCGCTTTTATGTGGTGCATTGTCAGAAATTGCTATCCACACATTTTTAGCGAGAGTCAACGAAAACATTTGTAGACGAACACAAAGAAATAACTGATTTACTAATTGTGTGTCAGTATTCCTCCTTCCTCTCATGGTACTCTACCCACTGTGTGCCACGGCAGCTGTTTGTAAATATAGCTCCCACCAGCAGAGTCAGCGTTGGCGTGGATGGAGCAGACCCGCATGGGGCAGAGTGTGAGTGTGGAGGATAGCGGATACTCCTCGCAGTGCCGCAGACAGATGGAGGCCTTGGCGATCCGGCAGGCTCTTCTCTACAGGGCTGCCATGGATAAAGTGTGGTGGGCTGTCACATTAAGTCACTTACGCTTCCCTGGTTCATGACCATTTCTCTGCCTGTTGGCCCTATTGCAGAATCAATATTGACCTTAGAATGCTGAAAGATTAGGCCTCTTGCTATCGTTTACATTTTTTTTTGGTGTCATAGATCATATATTTCATTTTAAGCTGAGAAGGATAGCAATGTTAAGTATCATTTAAAAATAAACTAAATGCCAGATTTTCAACGGCGCAAAACTGATGACTTGCTCGGAAGCCCCAGACCTAGAAGAATCTGCCACTTCCTTACAGAGCCCCTCCTCCAACACACACAAACGTGCACATGACCAATGAGGGCACGAGATAAGTTTGTGCACAGATGGAAGGCTGACAGGCAGGTAGGCCATCCAGTTATTTTAGCCGGGCCGGCTAAAATGATTGGTCGTACTTTTTACAGTACTACGGCTTCCACAGATGATATTTTTTTATGGATTTTTTGTCAAAGCACTTAAGATATTTATTGCTATCGGGATGTTAAGAGCATTCCATGGAATATAACAAAAAGTGTATCTCGAGCCGGTTTCTCAAACTTACCTACCCCACCTTTAATTAGGTATACTATTTTAACTGCTAGTTAACACAACAAATGGCAGCCACTCAATGAATTAAGGCGTGTAGACATGGTCAAGGCCATTTGCTAGTTCAAACAAAGCATCGGAATTGGTAAAAAAAGTTGATTTAAAAGACTTTAAATTATGCCTAGCGATTGGTGCCACAAAGACTTGTTTGAGTATTTCAGAAACTGCTGATGTACTGGAATTTATACACATAGCTGGCTGAAGTTTTCAGAAGAATGTTTAGAAAAAGAGAAAATATCCAGTGAGAGGCAGTTCTCTGGAATGGCCTTGTTGATGTTAGACGACAACAGCTTCAGCTTCATTTAAATGCCACCTCAGCATTGTTTAGGACCATGCAGCTCCCTTTATAACCACACTGTACCTATCTTCTAATGGCTACTTCCAGTTCCAATTAAATTCTGAAGGCAAAAGGGGTGTAAGTAATGAAGAGCCTGGTGTACAAATCAATATCCTCATGAGATCCGTCACGTGTGGGCCTGATTTTGAAGGCCTGTCATTAAGCAAGGTGTCAATTTATAATTTTGAGACTTTCATTATTAGGCTACTTATGATTTTGTAGCCTACTTAGCCTACATGGGGCGCATGCTTCAGATTAAATAACATGATGTGCCTGTGCCAATGCATAACCCACAAAAGGAAGAAAGGAGCGGGCTGGGTGGTTAATAGTCTTCCCATGTGCCTCCTAGGATAATCTGACCATTCTTTAAAAGAGCCTGAAATCATGTTTCAGCCTGTAACACTTGAGGGCGCCAAAACCTTGATCATACAGACCTGAATCAATGATGGAGGCTCACCAATCATCCCATTGGTACCTAGCAGAAAGCTATTATTGATACCTCAACATTTTATTATAAAGAAAAAAATCCACCAAGGTGCTCGCAAGGTCTGGAAGTATATTTGTTCATAAAGTACTAAGGTTATATCCCGCCATGAGGATAATTCCTGAGCTGAAGCAAATGTCATAAAACCATCAGAAAAAAAACAACAGTGTCATTCAGAAACAGGCCTGCTGTGTTGTACATTTCAGTAACCATTTAATGTGATTAAAACACCGTGTATTTCTCTTCAGTCAGCTCTAAATGGTTAACGCTTTCTAACGTGAGCACCCACAGCAATAAAACACCAACATTGAAGATCACTTAGCCAATGATCCCAGCTAGGCCGCATTTATTGTTGTCTCAACCTAACTATGGCTCTCATCCCGCCCAAAAGTGGCCGCGCTGATGACGGATGGCCCCTGCCTCCAATGAAATAGCCGTATGCTGCCGGCTCCGGAGAAAACAGACCAATCAGCGCCTGGAAGCGTACGAGGGGCACGCATTCTACGCTTTCTCTGGCAAGAATGTTAGTTCCTGCTCTTCCCTGGCCGTTTCCTGTAATCGTACAGTGTTGTGAGACGGAGAAAGCCATGTGTGTCGATGCAAAGGTAAATTTAGCACCCCGAAATTATTACTGTGAGAGTTGGGGCAGTGGATATAATGGTTATTGTCATGTATTTGTGCCGAAAAATAGACGCAGACCAACCGAAACAGTATTGCGGCCTAACCCGTGTCTGAACGTTGACGGGCAATGGTTATTGTGGCACGTTGCTTTGGTTTGGTCCGGTTTGTTGATGAGATTGAAGGAGTCCGGTAGACTGAATGGTTGGTAGTAAATGACAGAGAAGCAAGGAGATGGAACCAAACATACAATATATCATGTTTATAACCCTGGAAACGTTTCGGTGCCACACACGCTTTTGTAATAGCCACATCTTGGTCGTGGTTCAAGCTAATGCTAACCGACGGGTTTGTGAGAAAGGCTGCAATCCGACCAGAGGAAAGCATCCTGCCGCTCTAGCATCAGTACCCTCCTCTTCTCACCTCACTTCCAACTATTTTCATTCACAGAATATCCCCTACATTGTGTAGCCTTCTATATTAACATTAAAACTGCCTGAACATGTTTTAGTAAGCCTCTTATATCCCATTGATAGCGTTTTCTGAACAAGTTGATCATGAGTTTGGTGTTATTTTCAAAAACATTTGAGTCAGGCTTTTGTTTTTTAGGAGTTATGTCATCCAAAATAAGTTTTACTTACGAATTGTTGGATACAAAAGTGGTATGTTTGAGGCATTTCATATACAGTAAACTTGCAAGTCTGTTCATATACAAGTTGTCTTATTTATTGTACATTCGTTCTGTGCATTCAAAACTTAAATGATTGCTGTTGATTATCAACAAAAAAAGAACCACGTTGTAGCTGAAAATGACACAAGAATCAGAAGTTAAAGGATAGTATTTTGTCAACTAAGGCCTAATTTTCAATGTCTCCGTCGTCTGCTTGTTATCTTTGTTTACTACACGTATGTACTAAGTATCCATTGAATGAGTCCCACCAAACATATATTGTTCTATGCAGGTTTGAGTTGTATGATCATAATTCCTTTAACAAATGTCAACGTTATTTATTCGTGCTGCATTAACAAGCGTTTCTCCTCTTTTCCCAGCTTTTTACCTAAAAGTTGAGAAGAACTGGACTGCGACTATTGATCTTCCTTCTTCGGAGTCTTTTCCCGCTCTACCCGTCTCCCTGTGTGGAGAGGGCAACATGGCAGACCCCATCATGGACCTCTTTGAGGACACCCCTCTGTTTAACCTTGATGCCCTGCCGGACGGTTCATTCACTCAGGGCTCCTCGGACCCCGTAGAGGAGGCTCTTAAGCTGGCTTTGGGCCAAGTGGACCCACCAACCGAGGCTGATCTCATGGACAACACGGGCCTCAGTGTTTCTATAGCAGCTCCTTCCAACCTGGACCCCGCCCCCGTTCAAGTCCTCACACAGCAGCCGGTGCCGGTGGCGACTGCTCAGACTATTTCCATATCTGCAGCTCCCACTGTAGTCCCTGCTCCTGCCGTGGTAGAAACTGTACCTCAGATCCAGACGCAGACCACCATACCCATTGTCAGCAGCACCAGCCTGGCCACCAGTAGCACGGTCCTGCTGCGCTCACCTCTGACTGTTTCCAGCTCCCCGGTCATCACCACCACTGCCAACACGCAGCAGCTCACGCAGATAACTCACCAGCTCACTCCGCAGCAGTTAGCTGCCATCACACAGCAGGCCGGCGGTAAAATTGTCATTCTCAAAGGGCCACAGGGTCAAGCCCAGGTGCTGCAGACTGTTTCAGGAGCCACAGGGCAGACCACTGGAAAGGTCATCCGTGTGTTGTCCGGCACTCAATTTAAACCTGGCATGAACATACTGCAGGGCGGGACAGTTTTGAATCAGGCGGGACAGGCTCAAGTCAAGGTGGGCACTGCGGGGGTGCAGAGGCTGCTGCAGTCTCCTAACGGGCCAGTGAAACAGATGGTGCTGACCACCATGCCCCAGCAGACACAGGGCCAGACAGTCCAAGTAAACTCCCAAGGCCAGGTGCAGCTGCAGCCAGCCATGCAGGCCCAAATGCAGGTAAGCACCACCTCTCCTTCTCATGCTGACCACAGCAGGCGACTCTTGGATTTTGTAGGCCAGTTTTTCCCCCTGATTCTCATGCCGTGTATCTGTTTCTAGGGTGGCGAACAGAAGAGGATCACCCTGGTTCTCCAGCAGCCATCCCAGGGAATGGCAGCGGGTCAAGGCCAGCAGCAGATCACACAGGTCCAGCAGGGGGGGACTAGACTGGTGCTGGGGCAGCTCCCCGGGGGCAAACTGGTGCTTCAGGGAAGCCAGCTAGCAGCCCTGACCCAGGCCCGGGCTGCAGGCCAGGCTGGAGGCCAGCCCAAAGTCCTCACCATTCAGCTGCAGGTGCAGCAGCAGCCCAACCAGCAAGGAGGAATTAAGGTGAGGAACAAGTGTGAGAGAATTTGGAAGTACCTGCTTGTGTAATCAAATTAGTGTTTTCATACAATATTTTTGTTGTTGTTTTTTGTTCTCTTGTTGATAATAATAATAATAATAATAATACATGAGACTTGTATAGTGCTTTTCTAGAAACTCAAAGACGCTTTGACGGAGAATACAAAACAAAGAGAAAAAATACAAAAAGAGATAAACAAAAA